ATGATCTAGACCAGACAGTTATAGAGAAGGGCAGCCAGGATAAGTCTACTGTTAACATTGCTATGTGCTCTCGTCCTAGAGAACAGAAGCACACTGCTTTTAGTGGCACAAAGCACACAGCAGCCCATATATTTCTAACATCTTCCAATGTTTTTCCCTCTTCTTCCCCTGCACATTAAGTGCAAATGTACAGAATGGAGAGTGGAATTACGGCCAGAATAGGATGAGACTGGAGGGAATAATATTTTCATCTCTGACCTCCCAAAGTGACTCATGGTTTGTGCCTCACAGCCAAAAAGCCTTGGCTATGACTATGCAGCCATCATGGAAGGAGGAGTTGAGAGAGGGTGCTCCAGGCATCCACCCAGGAGAATTCCTTAAATAGCAGCATTAGCGGCAGCCTTGTGCAGTGTTGAGATATGGCTCTCTGTGCTCGATTCAGAGTGTCTGCAGACTCTTCCAGCTGCAGTCCGAGTCTCCCTTTTAGCCTTCCAAATAGGTATGTTGTCCACAACATTCCCCTCCAGGTGCCAAGATGCCTTCACAGAGAAGAATGTCTATTGGGGCTTATATTTCTAATACAAGGGGAACAGTTCTTCACCAGGAGGTGATGGCATCTTAAGGTGATATTACCTGCCACTTGTGGTAGGACTTTCACAATCTCCTTTTTTAAATGAGGAAACAGATAAGCAGTGAGATTAGGAAATTTTCCTGTTTGCCACTTAGTATTTGTATGAATAATTTGTATGAACATAATAGGCCTTGTTTGCTTTCTCTGTAATGGTTTTGTAGCCAATAAATACAAGAGGTTGGTAATGAGGTGAGACTAAAGGGAAGCTTTGAGAGCTGACTTCCAGAAATAGGGGGTTGATGCCACCTGCCTCATTTTTCCCTGGGATACTGACTGGTTTTCAATTGTATGGAATTGTAGTGTGAAGCCAGTGAGAGCCAGTAAGGTCTTTTCCATGTCTGAAATATATACATATATATTCTGATGGCAAGGAGGTGTTGTAGCATAGCAGGTAGAGGAAAAAACACAAGCTTCCACGGTAGCCTAAAACTTTATATTAGCCACTTCTAAAATGGGAGCCTCAGTGCTCTCATTTATACAAATGAATTAATCACGGCCCAACTTCGTGGGGTTGAGATGTCCATAGACTGCTAGGATGCACACAAACTTGGTCTGCATCTACATTGTGCTGCTAAGTAGTCTTTCAGGATTCCGGTTCCCCAACCCTTCGCTAGTGAGAGTGCCAGAAAGAATTATCTGTCTCCCAAGTCTTCCCAACAGGACATTTTGCAGTTCCAGAAAGGGAATGGAGCTCTATGTACATTTAGTGGGTGGCAGAACCGACTGGCTGTCCAGGGATCTTTAGAACATTGTACAGTGGTGGATTCTGTAGTTAAAACAACATGTCACGGTCAAGATTCACTTCCTATCAAAAGAAATGAACTTTCAGACTTACTTAACTTTTTAGGTATTTTCTGTGAGGCTCAAACTGCTTTCACTAAAAATCTCTTCCTTGGAGTCAGAATTCTGCACTGAGTGCGGATTGCTATTGAGATTTGCCCAGCTGGCACGCTGCTGTCTTCATGGGGTGAGTTCCCAGCAGGCCTCAAAGTATAACTCATTCTATAACAAATATGAAAATGTACTCATTCTGCTCCTGCTACTGTAAGGATAATATATGAATCAGAGGTGTAGTTCAGCCTGCCTGCGATCTTCCGGAGGGCACCAAAAGGTAAACAGCTCTATTCAGACTGGTTCTACTCAAGACAAAGAATGGAAGAAGCTCTGCTAAGGGATGCTTTCTCCAAATTCCCCAGAGAATTTTAAAGGGGGAATTAACATTCCAAGTAGAGGAAATCCCAGTAACTAAAACTCAGACGCAAGAGAGATGTAGAGAGCACAAAGGAACTAGACAAAAGTTCTGCGCTGCAAAAACCAAGAGTGCATATCATCCTTAGCTAGGGGGTGGGCTGGAGGGGCACAGAGAGAATCATTAAGGTACGATGAAAAACTGTAGGACAGAAGGGTCTAGGATAATGGCCTGGGAAATAAACCATGTGCTGTGCAATAGTGAGGACCAGACTTTGATCAAGGGGCAGCAATGATCCCCAGAGAAGAGTGAACAGCTAGATGAGCCAACTCAGTGAGTCTGAGTTCAAATGTGAGTCCCTGCCTCGGTATAAAATGAGGAGAGTGACTGAAGAAGCCACTTAAGGTCAACCTCAGGTCTACACACACACACACACACACACACACACTCACATGCACACACAAATATGTATGTGCACATATGTGTTGAAAAGTGCATGTACGTATATGATTAAAATGATTAAGAATGACAATGAAAAGTGAATGATGGGACCAGGCATGGAAGATCCCTGCTAGAGGTTAGACTATTGTGAAGACTGTGGGAGACACAGGAAGATTTATCCACAGCTGGGTAGATGTGGTTTATTCTTTGAGTCATCCCAGAGATAGGCGTGCCTGTCTTTGAAATGCTACTCTAGAAGTAAGCTCTCAAATATTAACGTAATAACCAGATGCCATTTGCAGCATTAATTCACAAAACGGTATGGATCTAGGAGCATTTTTTTTTGCTGCTTATGGTTGCTGTCAATTGTATCACAGTGGTGGGGATGGGGATTCAAGTGTGCTCATAGTTCAACCAGAATGCGAACGTCTCAGGACCATCTTCCTTGCACAGCAAAAGAGGTAACTCAAGGGACATGACGGATTGACTGGTTGGTTTTGAAATCGGATGTTCGTATGTTTCTTTAAGACTCACTTTTCTTATAAATTTGTATAATAACATCTCCTGGATGAAGCTGCTGGAAATACTGGAAGAGACAGACTGACTGTAGTACTAAATCCAATGAATGGTACATACCAAGAAGTGTTGCCAGGTGTGAATGTTATCTTCATTTTTTATTTATTCATTACATAAAAATCAGTTTATACAATGTCCCTGAGGCGTATGCATGACATCCTGTGATGCACATAGATGGTAGAAATAGCTTCTGCATTGTCACATATCAACTTCCAAGCTCACAAATTTTTTTTGTAGGAAAAATTTCACATTTATTTATTTGCATGTCTTGTTTGTATGTATATGCACATGTGTGACACTGCATGATTGTGGAAGTCAGAAGACAAATTTCATGAACTGATTTTATCTTTTTTGCCATGAGATTGAACTTGTGTCCTCAGGCTTGGGGGCAAACACGTTTACCTGGTGAGCCATCTCCCCCCCCCACTTATATTATTACCTGTATGTGTTAATGAGAGCAGCCAAAATCCGTTCATCAAACAAAATCTTCTTAGTGAATATCATTTTTCATTTCAGGGGTGATATTGGTACATTTGCAAAGCTTAAACAAGCAGAAAGGAGCCAGCGGGGGAGGTAGCAATGGATGCTGCTATTTCACTGCTGGCTAGAAGAAAAACTATGTAAAGTGCAGAATCTTGGAAGTTCAGTTTAGTATGAAATTCTTTCCTCTGTGGGACTAGGTCATAATATTTTACAGATGCATGATGGAAATTATGATAGTGGTAGAGGTGATTTGAAAGGTAGGTAGTAAGGTTCTATAAAATATGCACAATATTTTAAGCAACTTTCAAAACACATATGTGACACACTGAGTCTCCAGCCACCATTTTGCCTTCTTCTGTAACCTCTCGGTGTCATTTAAATTGGCAGCACCCTCATAATCATTTATTTTATGAAATTAAAGAGTATATTTTTGCAGAACATTGTGTACTTTTTACTTGGGATATCTTATTTCTTCCTCATCTTTTCCCCAGTTAGTTTTCATGATATGTATTCTTTACTATCACCATTTATTATTCAGCAAATGTTTGTTGAGTTACAATTTTGTGCCAGGAACAAAACTGAGTACTGGAGATTCAGGGGTGACCAAGAAGACAAAGGCAGTCCTTCTTGGATCTTGAGTTCTGCTCATAGATTTGGTTTTAGAATGCAGCAATAGCATTGTTTGGGACTATTTAAGTGTGCATAGATGGGTACAGAAAAATAAACATAATGCTGTCAGTTACTGAAGATTCTTTAGTTAATCAGAACTTAAATCATTATTGAATATCACATGCTTTGGGGCAGTTGGAATTTTGTGTCAATATTTTGTCTCTAAAATTACCTGAGACCGAATTTTTTCTTCACTAACAAATGTCCCTTATTCCATACCAGGTTCATAAAATTCCTTACAACGTTCTTCATGATTTGATACAAATATTAACAGAGAAAACTGAACACAACTAGACTGTTAAAACTTTTTAGAGATGTAAAATTCTGGCATATTTCAATCTATTTCTATTCTTGCTTGCTTAAAACCTATTAATATTTTCTGTCTTCAATAAATAATTAAACTCCAAAAATTTTATTCAAACCTCCACATGAATCTGGCCAGTAGCTGTGGTTAGAGACATCTTATTCTCAATTCCTGAGGCATTCTGAAGATTCCTAGGTTTTTGGATATGGAAGGGATATGACGGCATCACTATTTCCCATGACTCTCACCACTGCATTACCTGTGACCTGTAATGAACTTGTGTTTCTTTTTGAGAACTTACATAATTTCATGTACCTCATTTAACCAATAGTGAATTAAAGTTTCCTAAGTGCCAGACACTTCAGAATTTTCATTTTATGGTTATCTCTTGGTATATGTTGTCCAATTTTTAGATTCTCTGGTCCTGAAAACACCTCTGTATTAGCTATCCAAGTATGCCCTGACCCATTCAAGAAACTCAGGTAGCTCCCTCTGTCACCAGCAGTGCCTGTGTGGTTTCACTTATGGAGCTAAGAAGTTTCATTGGAAAATGAAACAGAAGGCTCTTCAAGTAGACTGTAATCAACTTGCCTAGTTGGATCATTTGTCTTTACTTCAAAACAGCTTCTCTTTAGTGTTAAAATTAGTTAATAATTATACTGATTAGTTATTATTGTCAGTTTGGCACAACCTCGAGTTACCTGGGAAGAAGTAACCTCAGCTGAGGAACTGCCAAGGTCAGATTGGCTTGTGGCCATGTAGGTGAGGGAGTGTCTTGACTGACGATTGATGGTAAGGTCCCATCCCATAGAGAGCTTTATAATAGCTCGGTCAGTTGTCCTGGAATGTATAAGAAAGCAGACTGAACATCAGCTAGGGAGCCATCCAGGAAGCAGTGCTTTTCCATGGTTTCTGCTTCCTTTCCAGGTTCCTGCCCTGACTTTCTCAATGGTGGTGTATAATCTGCTAGTATAAAAAGAATAAACCCTTTCCTCCCTCAAGCACTTTCTGTTGTAATGTTTCGCCACAGTAGCAGAGATCAAACTAGAACAGTAATCTCGAAAAATCCTTACTGTATTATCTTGGAAATTCTTTAAATTTACATAACTTATTTAGCTATATGTCAGTGAAAGATCAAGTCCTTTCTATGTCGCTGCTATTATCACTTGAGACAAGGAGGATTGCTATATTCTTCTAAATACACATTTCCTATATGACTTAATTATTCTTCTATTGCTGTGAAGAGATACTATGACCAAGGCAGCTTATAAAAGAAAGCATTTAACTGAGGGCTTGGTTGCAGTTTCAGAGGGTGAGTTCATGATCATCATGGCAGGGGGCACAGCAGCAGGCAGGCAAGCATGGCACTGCAGCAGTAACTGAGAACTTACATGTTGAGAAAACAACCATGGGGCAGTGATAGCCAAAATCTAGGCTTTTGATTTCAAAGACCACCTCCTCAAACAACGCCATACCTCTTAATTCTTCCCAAACAGTTCCACCAACTAGGGAGCACACGATTCAAACATCTCAGACTATGGGGGCCATTCTCATTAAAAAAAAAAAACCTCCACACTGTGTCCTTGAAGGATTCACCCATCTTTCCATCCATCTATTCATCTAGGCAACCATCCCATCACGATGCCTGAGGATATTCCTTGTTCCTGACCATGAGACCAAGATCAAGATCAAAGTTCTTATATTCAGGAGACAGATGCTTCTCTATCTTGGATCTAGAATATTATCATATTCCCCATTCTACCTTTAAAATCTTCTCTTGATTAGTACTATCATCACTCTGAAGCAGTGCATCATTCTAGACACATGGTAGGAATGTAAGAAGTATTTGTAGAAAGGAAAACAATTACTTGTTCCCTCAGAATTACTTCATGGTAAATTGAGATTCCCAATAAATTTTGGGGGGATCTTTTTCAATCTATAGGATCCAAACCAACTGACAAATAAGACAATGAAGACAATAAATGCAAAAGATACCATGTGTAATTATGTTACAGGCAGTTACTAGAAGAGCATGCAAAGTCCTTTCCCAACACTGAATCTTGGACCAGGCAGCCAAACACACTGAGTCTCTATTGCAACCTGATTTCTGCTGCCTGGGGAAGCCAGGGAGGGCACACATTCCATGCAGAGCTTGTATGCAAGAATAATAAAGCCAGGAAAGTACCATACCCCACATGCCTATTTTCTCTCTTGAAACCTTAAACTCTCTGATAAGATTCTGTCAGTCTTTCCCCCTCTCTGTTTCTGCAGGTAAAGAGAATGAAGCCAGAGAGACAGGGAAGAATCCCACAGAGTCAGGAAACCCTATTTCCTAGCAACACCATGTTGCAATGGAAACATGCTCCTTTTTATTCTCAGCTTGCCTTCTTTCTACTCATCTTAACTTACTAATGGTTCTCCTTTCTTGGTTTAAGTCTTATAATTCTTACCGGTCTGAACTTACCTCTTATCTGATTTCTGTTGCTTGCATCTTCACTGGAATAGGCTCTTTTCCCTGAATCTTCTTCATGGGCTTTGTCTCCAAACCCACATGATCTTCCAACTGTGAGGCAATCAGTGTGATAAATTAATATATTAATTATTTGACCAGAGTGCCAGGAACATCTTTTAACATCTAAGATGTAGTGTTGATTGAGAAAGATATGGCCCGTTCTGTCCCCAAAATTTTGGACAGTCAGGGTCCAGAGATGTGTAGCAAATATTCTCCAACCCTGATAATTAAATGATCAGAATAACAATATATTTTATGCATGCAAGATATGCACAGTCTTGACTATAGATATTAAATTATGCATTTAAAACATATTCCATGATATTTAAAGTACTGGTGATATTGCCTTCCACTTTCTTTATGTGCTGCCTTATTTTTTAAATTTTTCTTTAACATAAACTTTTCTGGTAAAAGAATAAAATCCCCCATGAAAGCCAGAAAAAAAATATCAAAGCTATACATGAGCAATTTGAAAACCAAGAAGGCTCTCTGGGGTTATAAAGCTTATGCACGACAGCTGATATTATCTGCCAGTGAGATACTGTTTGTATCTCAACAAGGTGGAATGTACAAATGATCACCTTGCGTATCTAAATTCATACACATGCACAATGGCCTGGTGACTCCAGGAATTAGCTCCTTGGATTGCTGCAAATCCCTCACCTCCAGCCGATTCATCACTCAAAGACCCTTGGGTAAAGTGCAGAACTTACTAAGTAGAGGGTCGGCCATCTCTGGAAGAGACCTGGGAGAGTTTGGGGTGTTAGAAAAGAGATCTTTCAGAATTGCTTTTCCAAATTCTCTCACAATGATGCCTCCTCTAACTCCTGCTGTGTAAAGCAGAAATATTCATCCTTTCAGCGTAGGTGTTAACCATAGGAGGGTCTCACTTGGTGACTCAATTCCCTTGCTCAGGGTGTGCACCTGTCACCTCGAGGAAGTTGGACCCTGAGTTCTTTCTGACTGGGTGAAGCCAGTCAGCATTCGGCCTGCTCTTGGTAACAGAAGCAGCATTATTTTTGCTGCTGAGATCTCATCCCTTCTTCCTGCATCCTATCTATATGGGGAGTTGGGGACATCAACTCTAGGCTACAGACACTTATTCAGCACCCCAGGCTGGGATCAGCGGTGGTCTTGTCTCTGCTGAGCAAACTGGAGCTTGCTGAGTACAACAAGACATGTTCATTTAATAACTTTGTGTTCATGTCTACATATATTCATGTACATAAACACATCCATGTACACATGTGCAACATATGTAACACACGTTGGTAAATGTATACTGATTCACAAATATGCATTCATTGGATATGCTCTGGGAGATAAATCCTGCGAAGGAAGCTATGAATAAGGCAGATCAAGTGATCATCCTGATGAACCAACATACTTAAAAGTCCATAGAGGCAATTCAAACTAAACAGAGTGATGCTGACTCACGCCTAAGTCCTGCATCCAAAGCACTAGGGATACTTACTTAAAATATCAGACTCTGGTCATATTCCCAGCCATCCTCAACCAGATTCTAGTTGGTATGAGATCTGTGTGTCTTTATCTCAATGCCTCCCCCGATGTAATCTAAGTTGGAGAACCACAGCAGGAAATGTAGGATGTTGACAGAGGCTCACAAGAGGTAGACCTTGCCAATCTGGCCTGTGTGAAGAAGAAAGTAACGTGGAGGAAGTAGTTCCCGGATTGGTAGTCAAAAGAAGCCATTGTCCAGAGAAATAAAGAGCGTCCAGAAAGACTATCCAGTAGAGGAAGTATCCAGTAGAGAAACTGTGAGAAGAATTTCTCAAAGCCTATGACCTGTGGTCACTAAGGGTTTCAGCAAACAAAGAACAATGTTTCTTTAGTTTCTAAGGGGTTTTACTTAATAACAGAGGCTTTGCTGTGATTGGCATTCTCACTAGCCACATACATTGCTTATACTTCCTTTCCCATGACATTATAGGAACCTGAATCGGTGTCTGTGTACAGTGCGGGATCCAACTTCAGCTCCAGAAGTTTCCATTGATAATTCTCAGGGCTATTGAGTAGCCCTGACCTTATGCTTTGCTCTGGGTTCTCTGTGGCTCCCCTCAAAGGGATGAATGATAGCACAGTTCCTTTACAAAGCCAAGGCATGTCCTAGGAGAGTGGACCATCACCACTACACACTGGCGGTTCATTTCTTCACAGGGTGTAACTGCTGCTTAATTTTATGTTTGTTCAGGATCCAGCTTACTGGGTCAATTAAAGTAAGGGGGAGATGTCGGCTTGATTTAGTAAAATTGGATTCTTTGTCTGCCTTGGGTTTATCTCCTTGGGCTGGCCTGTCATTTGAATTTTATGTCTTTGTCCTTATTTCTTCCGACCATTTTTTTCCTAGTGAGGTTTTTTTTTTTTTCAGCGTTCCACTCACCCTATCTGCTTGCAAGGAAGGTGTTTGTTTCTGTAAAGTGCCTGTCCTGTCCGATCTCCATCATCTTTATGGTCTTGCATTCTGTCACAGTGGCTCAAGTCTGGCTGCGGTTTGTTATGTTTTGACAGGAGTTTGTTATAAAGCTGAGGATCACGCCTGGCTTTGCCTTTCAAACTTTCCCCTTTCCGGTAGCCATAAACCTATGCTGCTAAAATGTTCCCTCTGGAGAGAATGAAATTCTGATAACAAAAGCCTTGGACTAAAAGAACCGGGGTCGGGGTGGATAGAGGAGAATCTTGAAGAACTATTATTAAAGCAGCCAGGTGTGTCCCAGTCATCATTCAAATGCAGATGTTGCAAAGAAAGCTGAGTTTCCTAATACAAATGAGCTGCAGAGTGGATCTCCATTGTCTTGTTTACTCGGCTTCAATCTTTGGGATCTTGGACGAGTTGAGAGACAAGTGAACAAAGTTTGTCCTGGGGTTGCCTGGAGGATAGAAATCAAGACGCGTTCTGGGGCCATGGTGGCGCCTACCTTTAATCCCAGCAATTGGGAGGCAGAAGCAGGTGAATCCCTGTGAGTTCGAGGCCAGCCTAGTCTACAAGAGCTGGTTCTAGTCCAGCTAGGACTGTTACACAGGGAAACCCTGTCTCAACCCCCCTGTCCCCACAAAAAAAAAGAAAGAAAGGAAGAAAGAAAGAGAGAAAGAAAGAAAGAAAGAAAGAAAGAAAGAAAGAAAGAAAGAAGGAAAGAAAGAAAGAAGGAAAGAAGGACATGTATTCTTAACAGACAAAAGTTCAGCTAAATGCTTAAAATTATATTGTTCTTTATCAACATGTGGAAGAAGAATGCAGATTGGGTTTATATGATTCTTGTTTGTTATGACGTATTTATTTCAAGTTGTGTTTCTTCCTTCCGTAAGTGTATATTGAGTTCATGCCATATAGAAGGTCCAGCATTCTAGCTGGTCCTATTTATCTGTCCAGCACTACTATGTCCTGGGATTGTACTTTTGGACAAATATTGAACATAGCTGACTTACCAGGCACCATACCCTTAAAGTCAGCTCACTGTCTCCAGCAGCTAGCAATTGCCAATAGCTCCTCAGCTAGGGATAGGTTTTCATGACCCCTCACTCCGTCCATGCTGAGATCTTGTCTGATGTGAGCTTGCAAAGGCCTTTTATATGCTGCCACAACAGTATGAGTTCATATGTTCAATTACCCCGTTGTAACCATCCCCAACCACAATAGAAAATACAGAAATCAGTGTGAGTATCCAAACTTTCCGACATCCACGGGTAATCTTGAAGTGCGTCTGCCGCAGATAAGGAGAGCTCCTACACACTTAATGTCCCTGTGATGCGGATGCTATTCCCATCTCCATTTAGTAGGGGAAAAGCATGGGCTGGAGCGACTCCAGAATCACACAGCCACTATAAGATAAAGCTGGGACTGCTGTGAAGGCAGGGTGGGTGCTGGCTAACATTGCTTCACTCCAGGTCTATGTGAGGGGGAGGTCAGGTCTGGTGAATCCTGAAGCCGATAAGTCCAGGAGTCTCCCTGCACCTTGATAGGAGCCTAATGTGTTAGCAAAGAAAGAGGGAAGCCAGAGAAGAGAGCAAAGCCATGCCTATCCTGGCTTAGCCTCCCTGTTCTCAGTTCCTGATATCTGTTCTGTGTCCGGTACCCCTTTTTATCTCTTCATCAGAAAGTCCTCTGTCTTTGCAAAGGAAATAGAGTGTAATCCCAAAGTCTTATTTCATTTTATGAATTGAGCCACAGCACCATCAATGAATGGAAGTGGGAGCTTTCAGCACTGGATTTAACAGTGGTGGGAATGTGAGGTAGATGTGATATTTAGCCCACAAGTTATATTAGTGGGTGTGCCCAAGCTCCAGTCACTTGTTGCTGAGTCTTTGCCCACTGGATGCCAAGTGGTACCTCTTCTTCCCTGCATCCTTGGGCTTTACTGAGAACTACACAAAATGTCAGTCTCAGCAGCTGGTGCCTGTGCAGTTTTGTCAGACGGGTGGATACAGTCAGCCGTTATGTCCCGCTGCCAGGAAGCCTACGCAACATTTAATTCAGTCAGAATGCCGTTCTTTTCCTTGTCGACACCATCTAAGGGTCAGAAGCGCAGGCCCCACTGGGCCACTGTGGAATGTGAACCTGACCTTCTTTTACTGCTTCTTATTTCCAAGGACTTCAGTTTCCTTGTAAAATGTCTCTGGAATGGTGACTCGGACTCTTAGCTAAGCAGTGTGCTTTCCATATGGAATTTAGATGTCTGGGAATTGCATACATCAATGTGAGACATGCCCTACCCACCCTAAGAAATCTTAGACGGGAGACATAGTTTCTTTTTTGCAAAATTCAATGTCAGCTTTAGTCTTTCAAAACGGTTAGTCTTTAAATCATGTTTTTGTTCTCTTTTGTTTTGTACATGAGCAATGAAATGTGAATATTCCGAAGAAGAGCCCTTTGAACTTTGGTTTTGGTGCTGGAATGATGGCCGAGCTGCTAAAAGAGCTTTCCGCTCTTGCAGGAGGGCCAGAGTTCAAGTCCCAGCACTCGTGTCTGACAGTTTACAACCATTTCAGGAGGTCTGACGCCCTCTTCTGGTCTCCGCTGGTACCTACATGCATGTGCACATATGTGCATGGGCACTCATACATAAATACAGAAATTCAAATAAAATATTTTTGAAAATGAAAATAAGAACACATTCTTATTGTTCTCTTCTCATTGTCCTAGTTCCCCAGCCCTGAACTGAAAGGGACCTGACCTCTGCCCGGGAAACCCATGTGCACACATAGCAGGTTTGAAGACTGGCACACTATCTAAACAGACAGGCCAAGTTCACCTTCATTCGTTTTCCAAACTTCCCTTAAGGAGCTGTTTACACCACCAATGTTCTGTGATTCGTAACTGTTTCAGGAATGTTCTCTGGGAGCTGCACTTGAAAGACAATAAAATTAACAATTACAGCTCTGCAGAATGTCCCAAAGTCTATGTCTGGAGAAGGTGGGGATGTAAGAATATTGTGTACTGAACACACCAGGCCCTGAACCGCCACTTTATGCGTGTGTGGTGTTAGTCCATGTAACTGCTCACTGCCTTGGACATTGTTGTCCTACTGGGCAGATGAAGAAACTGGAGTTGAAAGGACGGAGATCCTCTATCTGAGGTCACAGGATGTCTAAGGGGCACAGGCAGTGAAGACATGGAGACCCATCGCCGCACAGCTTGTATAAGTTTACATTGGCTCTCAGAGCACAAAGGAGACCTTGGAAAATAAGAAGGAAAAAGGGCACTGCTCCCCCAAAGAGTGCAGTACTGCAGTGGGCTTTGATAGAAGAGCTGAGGAAGGGGTGAAGCTGCCATGGAGCTGAGGAAGGGGTGAAGCTGCCATGGAGCTGAGGAAGGAAGGGCACAGGTCTCTGACTAGCTCAGTTTGAAATCAGACAAGCTCCTGCTATGACTCAGAGCCTGCTAACAAGGTTTAAGTATAAGAAGAGTCTATCTCCGTGATGCTTAGCACCTTTGAAGGACTGTCAGAAATGATATCCAGCCCTCCACAGGGCGGCGTTCTATCTGCCTGCCTTCCCACAGCAGAAACAACACCGCTGCCTCCTTGCCACTCTTGGAAAGCCCATTGCTAAAGCCCATTGCTTCCTGGCCCAGGTTAAATTGAAAACCACAAATACACATCGCTTTTCTGTCAGTCAGATGAAATTTGCTGATATTAAAATCTGAAATGGATTGACTTGGGTCATCTCCGTCAGGCTGGGCTGAGTTTGGGACAGTCTGATAAAGCACGCTGAAATTATTTCATGAGAATTCCTGAAGTTTGGGAACATTGAGAAAAAAAAGGAAAGTTTTCTGTTTGTTTTGGGTTTTGTTTGTTTTTTGTTTTGTTTTGTTTTACTTCTCAAGTCTGTAGCATTGGTTTCTCTTCAGCAAGGTCGGCGGATTGGAGTGAAATGTTGGAGACCATGGGAAGTAGTCAGTGAAGATGCTTCATCTATAGCAGCAACCCAGCAAGCTGTTGCCCTTGACTACCAAATTTCATCACGGATACATGATCCGTGACATGGGCACACACACCCTGTGACCTAAATGGCAAAGTTTTAAAATCTGATAGTTGTAAGTGTGGTGCGGGAGAATTGTCTGTATTCTGTCAATCATGTTGTAAATAAACGCTGATTGGCCAAGCAGGAAGTATAGGTGGGTCAACCAGATAGGAAATAGAGGCAGGGCGATGAGAACAGGAGTATTCTGGGAAGCAGGAAGTTCCCTCCGCAGTTTTGCCCAGACCATCGGAGAGACAAGATGTAAGCTGTCCTGCTGAGAAAGGTACCGAACCATGTAACTAATGTAGAAAAGGATAATGGGGTAGTAAACATTATAAGAGCTAATACAAAGCCTGAGCTAATGTACCAATCAGTTTTATAACTTATGGAGATTTCTGTGTGATTTTTCTTTGGGGCTTGTCGGCTGTGGGGTACTGGGTAAGACAGATACCCCAACAAGCAGGCCCCTTCATGTTACATAAGTGGGGATAAATTGGTAGCAATCCTTCAAAGGATAACTGTTGATTTCTAGTAAAGTAAAAACATTTTCCTTCTTGTTGTCAACATTGTTGAAAAAAATGGAAAGCATTCTTTATGTTCTTCAATATGGAAGTTCTAAATAATAAGTAAAACAGCCATACTGGGGTGGTACTTAAAAATCGAGGAGGTAAAAACACTTTTTGTAAATGCCAGGCAACCTGAGTTCCATCCCAAGAACTCAAATAAAAAGCCAGATGTGGTAGCGTACATGAGTAATTTTAGCACTCCAAAGAAGAGATGGGATGTGGAGGCAGAAAAATTGCTCAGACACTTATGTGTCAAGCCCAGAATATCATGTTGAGAATTAAAGCTAACCACCACATACATATATACATACATCTATCTAGACATCATGTGGCTGTGCGGACAATTAAAATATCTAGAAGGCTATGTGACATGAATGTCAGGTGATCTGAGACCAGGGGAAGGTACTGATAGATATTGGTACTGTAAGTCTTAGTGGATACAGAGTGGCCAGGGCACTTGATACTTACGAGTGACTATGTTGATTAGATGTTTAAGCAAATAGGTTTTCCTATTTCTAGTAGAGCAAAGCCCCAGGAAAGTATGTTTTATTCCAAAGTCAAAATTCATTTTAGTCAGGTGTAACAGCTCCCCTTGTGTCACTTCTGAGCCCTTGGGGGCATATGCCAAGACTCTTCCATCCCAAACAGAGGAGACCTCCTGCAGGGTCTCCAGCTTCAAGTTGTCATGGGTGGAGATGGTATCACTTACACACAGCCTAATTACTGCCCATGTCTAAAGACAGATCTCCTATCTGGATGTTTATTCTGTTGAAATATTGAAAACAATGCAAATGACCTGTGTACTCTGTTGCAAAGCAATCCCCAACATAAAGTAAGGTCAGGCTTCATGTCCACAGAAGGGTCAGGTCTCATGAGCCCTTAGAGAGTGCCTAATGTGTTGTTTTCTTGGACATAAGTTATTACATGACCAAAAAGTAACAACTTGGTTGAGAAGCAAAAGGCCTTGGGTTTATAAGAAGGGAGAAATCACACAGGATCTCATCCCCAGCAAAAGAATTATAAGTAACTGGTAAATGCTGAGAGTGGGAGAAATGATCGTTCCCAGGGAAGAGCGTACCAACTGATTACTTAATACCAAGTGCTCGACCCTGAGATCATGTACACAAAAGTATATGGACTGAGCAGGTTATATTTAGAAGTTCGGTGTGTGTGTGTGTGTATCTGTGTGTGTTACAAAAAGTAATAGAGTCCATAGACCTTAAAGAGATCAAAGGGGTGCATGGGGCAGTTTGGAGGGAGAGGCAGAAGGAGAGAAATTATGCAATTATAATTTCAGAAAATGAAAATTACTATTAAAAATTAGTGTAGTTATACCAAAATCTAGAAATTCTACACATTCTAAGTACTTACTTGGTATTGCTTTTCTGGGCATCAGGTTGCTGGCCTTTAAAATAGGGTGTCAAATATAATCATGAATAACCTAATTTCATTTATTAAGTAATTGTTAGTATTTTATGTTATATTTTTCCACATATGTTGAGTGCCATTCATAATCATTAATCAGGAACTAATCAGTGCTACTCTGAGTGGAGATCATTTCTACTCAAACCAGAGGAAAACATTCAACATTTCAATATGGATAAGTATAAGTATATTTTAATACTACAGAAATCTTAGAAAATGTTTCTGACCACCACTGGAAATAATTATATCTCTTTGCTAGTCTTGTCACTGTAATTTAGTTACCAGTAGGGTGACTGATGTAGAATTCTATTTTCACTAATATATGCTGAATGGTAAAATAAATTTACATATTAATTTGTGTGACAGTTTTTCAACTATGAATGTATACACATATGAAGAAATAGTAAAATCTATACTGAGCATATTAATGTTGTTCAATACTTGAAAATATATTAGCAATTTTCTAAAAGAAAATTGAGTAGTATTGAAAAGATGTCTGATCAGATTAAGTGTACATCAAGATTCAAGAGCAAAATATAATGAGTACAGGTTTAGAGAAAATTTTCCTTCCACCGCTAGTAATATCTCAATACAGCACGTAGAACTCTAATCTTAGAGTCAATCAGTAAATATAGTAAGTGGCCAGGAGAATGCCCACTCCATCAACATTCAGCTTCTTCATGAAGCTTCTCCGAGAATTGCTGCAGTAAGACATGGAAGACGTCAACCAATTGGAGAGGAGAAATTGTAGACTGAAGTTTCTGTTTTGTTTTGTCCCACTGCTATTCAGTCCCAAATAAACACACAGAGACTTATATTAATTATAAACTCTTTGGTCTATTGTTCAGGCTTATTACTAACTACCTCTTACAACTTAAATTAACCCATAATTCTTGTCTATGTTTAGCCACGTGACTTGGTACCTTTTCTCAGTAAGGCATTCTCATCCTGCTTCCTCTGCATCTGATTTGCAACTGTGTCTCTCTCTTTCCTCTTCCTAGGATTCTCTCTGGTTATGCCACCTATACTTCCTGCCTGGCTACTTGCCAATCAGCCTTTTATTAAACCAATATGAGTGACAAATCTTTACAATGTACAAGAGGATTTACATTTGTTAAATGGCATTGTGGTTTTTTTTAACCATATTTCTAATCAAAACATTTTTAAATGAATATTAATAGAGTTTTGGGCTAGAAAATTCAAAACAGTAGAAAACTATATTAATTGAAGAATTCAAATATATGATTTGATTAGAAATGTTGTTAAAAATACACACAACCAGTCAACATATGTAAAATATCTAAAAGTATCTAAGAAACAAAGATTTTCCTACATATAACACTCTGCAGAGATCTATAGAAATCTTTTAATACAAAAATAGTTAAATTAAGGAACATACATTTCATAATCCTATGTGGGAAGATTTACAAAATGCCAATGGTTTCTTTCTAAATTTAATTAAACCAATGTCCCTCTTATTTCTTTTAATTTAAGAAAAGAACCTAAGGTTCATTTTTTAAATGTGCAGTTATAAAGACTGTGACATAAAGTTTCAATACCTATGAGTCAGCACTGTGATCAGGAGGAGCCAGCTTTGCACAGCAGAGGAACTCATACCATATGAAGCCAGGACATTCGTCTTCTTGTCTTTAATTAATGGATACAGTGGCAGAAAAAAAATACCTAATCATTTTTCTTAGCAGATTAAAAAAAATGTCTATGGAATTTGGTGACCATGTTGGCCAGTCGATATTATATGCAGGAAGAATCAGGTCAGTTTGTCATACGTTGCCATTGGCCACAACCCTCTAGAGACATGTTGTAGAGCGAAAGGTTTTAGCCCTTCCCTGACTCTGTCCCTGACTTCACCTATCAGCTTGGTTTCTTGGATAGTGCACCTGCTACGCTGCCTTTTTTGGTGACATCATAATCCATCAAGCACCTTTGATCCACATTCCTGCCTGTCAGAGGTCTCAAGTTAGTGCTGAGCCCTAGCCCTTGCCTTCTCAGATCACAGATCTTCATGTGACCTTTCTCAATCAAAGCTCAGCTCTACTTGTTCACACACAAGCTGCAGGCCCCCAGGTCTACACTACTTGCTACCGCCCTAAACCCTCTGCCCAAGTACTTGTAGAACAATGTATTACCCATAGCAGGTATTTAATAAGCATAGATGAAATGAATGAATCTTTGAAAAAGCAAGAGACATCATTAGAGAGAAGATATTTAAATCAAATTGCTTTGGTAGAGAAAATAAATCAAACCATCTTAGAACTATGGCAGCCTGCAGCCACACAGCAGGGTTAGCTTGACTTGCTTCCCCCTCTCTCAGGAACGAGAGAATCTGGCCAGAACCACACCATTTCAGTCAAAGTCTTGTATTTTATTTCCATTGTTTTGACTATTTCTAATGGTTATTTTCTCCATGTGAAGTCATCAGTTTTGTTTTTATCACTCCTAGAAGCACTTTCATTTACACATTAGCATAATACATTCCTGGATTTATGAATACAAATGAGTCTGAAATTTAATGAATCTACACTTATTACCTAGCGTTACCACTGTACTGCAGGAGAATTTCCAAGTGAATTTATGAAATACTGCTGTAGCTGAGCAGTCCAAATGGCCAGGGCTCAGATACCCAATTCACTCATTAACAGGTTTAGAAAAATTGTAAATAGCATGAGATAATCAATAACTTTAATATAATTAATGTTGCCTGTCAGGAAACACTAATATGTAGCTGTACAACTGTCTCTTAATGTTGGGAAATCATTGGCTAACTAACCTCAAAGTGTTAAGTCACCCTGGTACACTGTTAGCTCCAAATCTTCCTCTCATTCCCCATTTTCATCAGATTTCAATCTCTTTCAGGACTCGGAATTGAATTGCTTTGAAACACAGAAATTGACAGCATCCAAATTAGTAAATAATGGACCCCCAAATCAAGAGATCTTACATAGTTTCTCAGTGGACTCAAGGAATTCCAGAACAAGAAACATGGATTTAGAAATGTAGTTTGAAGGAGGAACCTAGCAAAACTGAGTTACACCTAGCAGACTTAAATGAGATGAGGAATTCAAGATAAAGAATATTCTCAACATTCACTTTTCTAAAAGTATTTTCACATTCTATTTTATTACAACCTTACAAGGATTTTAAAAATATTTTAATATTTTACTTTGATGACCAGTTTGAATATTTTCCCATATACTTATTTCTATGTGTGATTTTTCTCATGTGAATTACTTATTAACATCATTGAAAGTTGAGAAAAGTTTTTCATAATCAATAGCAGAGATAGAATGCTCTACAGGGTGAGGTTTCTGCTTTGGAAAGAATACCTTAACAGGTTTTATTTTCTCACTGAGTTCTCCACTAGTACTATTGTTTGGGGAGTGCATGTGCCTCTGTGGGCTCGGGAAGGCCAGAGGGCAACCTTGGGTGATATTCCTCAGGACTACAATTTACCTTGTGTTCTGAGAGTGGCTCTGGGGATGCAGGATGGCTGCCCAGCCAGCCCCCCAGGAAGCCTCCTGTCTCTGCCTCCCAATGCACCCCAGGGCTTTTAACGTGGGCTCTGTGGATAATATTCAGATCCTCAATGCTTGGATTTTACTAATTGGATTATTTCCCCAGCCCACACCATTTGAATCTAAATGTGTCTGCTGATGTGTCCAAGTAACACTGACAGACTAGAAATTATGTCGGCTTCCACACATCTAGCACCTTCCTTGTGGAAGACTTCTGGTGGTTGAGTTTAAGTGGTAAAGAGGGAAACCCAGTAGAAAATGTACACGGCACCTGAGCCCAGGTCTTCACATCTAAAACAGCTCTGAATAAATCTTAGCTATTCCCAGACTAAATATATTTACCTACAAAGTTGAGGATTTGAACTTTCTTTGCAAACATTCTAATCCATTAATAATTTAATATGTGATTTCCCTTTCTCTTTCATATTTTATTTCATAAATAATATAGAGTATTTTTCAATTACCGAGCATAACAGAAAATCTTCCTGTGTTCCTGACTCTCAACCCACTGGTGCTCCCTAACTTGAGGGACTTTGATCAAACTGTGTTAGGAAAACAGAATCCTTTTTATTATCTGCTATAATCTTAATCTCACTCAAACAATACTTCAGGCCTTCCCATAGGGATACTATGTAGATTTATGCCTACCAATATTTAAATGATTTTAACTCCCGAAATTAAGACACAGGTGGAAAGGGTAAGTTCAGTATCTGCATGTGAGCCTATGTCAGAACTGGTGTGACTGAAGGGTTAGCAGATTTCTGAAACTCTGAAATATCCCCAGATCTTCAAAGTAGTTGGGAACATTGTTCTGAATGCTTGCGTGGTTTTTATACGTCAATAGAATGTGCTAGCCTCAGTGCTTCCATGGTATAAAATTATGTACTGGAGTCGGGATTCAGAAGACATTGGTGAACAGTTCAAAATCACAAATTCAAGTTTATTCATTATGAATTATCACACTGCACACTTAGATAATTGTTAATTCTCCTGATAGAAATGAATCTGAGAGATAGAATGAAGGTCTGTAGTCATGCTTCCGGCACCACCACGGAGCTCTACACCTGTTCTAAGCTCAGAGAAATTTCACAAAGCAAATGTATGACTGTACAGTGAGTTGATGGTGAACATGTGGATTTGCTCTGGTGCACTGCCCCCTTCATTGCATGCTTTATCAATTTATTTATTCATTTATTGAAGAAAGACCATCACTCTGTAGCCCCGCCTGGCCCCAAACTATGACACATCTCCTTCCTCACTTTTCCGAATTGCTGGGATTATAAACGTTAACCCCCACACATAATTCTACACAGAATTTATATACTGCATTTTGTGTGCATGCTCTCATGTGTGTGTGTGTGTGTGTGTGTGTGTGTGTGTGTGTGTGTTCCTGTCACTGGCTCCTTTATAGAATATATATTCTCATCAAGCGTCCTCTTTATGGTAAACAGAATAATGCCCCTCCAAAGATACCTATATGCTAATTTATTGTACCAATGAAAGTTCCTTCACATGGCCAAAGCATCCTTCCTGGTCTTATTAGTATTGACTTTGAGATGTGGAGACTATTACGGATTGTTTACGTGGGTCCAGTGTAATGGATAGGGACCAAACATGGAAGCCAGGAAAACAGAAAGAAAAAGAAGCCCTATAAGGATCCTGCCTGCTGCTGCTGGTTTTACAGATGAGAAAAGAATTATAAACAAAGAACGTAGGCAGCCTGTAAATGCTGAAAAGAACAAAACAAGAAAACAACTTCCCCAGAGCCTCCTGAAGGGAAGCCACAGCTGCTGATGCTGTCTCATTAGTTGAGTGAGACCTGTGTTTGCCCGTTTGCCTGTAAGAGGATAATATGTTGGTGAGGTTTTAAGCCACTGTGTTTGCAGTGATTTGTTACAGCAGCAGTGGGAAACTAATACAGTCACTGACATCCCTCTTAATCCCCTGCAGCTTTGCACAGCGTGTGTGCAGATACTCTGTTAGCTCTTGTCATTGGTCCTCTCTGTCCCTTCCCTTCATCCGTGTTTGCTACCGTTTCCATGTTGGAACAGAATGCATTGACCAAGCTTTCTCAGTTTACAAATGATTGAAGCTCAACATAACTACCTTGAGATCAAAAGGGAGAAAGGAAAAATAAGGGAGAAGGAAGAAGAACATAAAACGAAGAGAGGGGAAAGGAACAGGAGGGCACACAGTCCATAAATTGACTTCCAGCCTAGATGAGGGCTCAAATCAGTCCACCGACAATATGCTGCCTTGCTTTCCCTTGGTGTGCAGGCTTCTATATGCCCAGGATTTACACATTTTTAGTGGGAACACTGTCTGTTTATTTCACGAAATGTTTCTGGAACACAATTATTTCTTTTCATTCATCTTCCTGCAAAGAAATAGCTTGTTGGGAGCATTTCGTTTCTCCTCTCTATGACATCATCTTGAAGTAGTTCTGAGACGGTCTCCCTCCTGAAAACTAATGCTGGGTGGCAGATAGAGGACTCTCTTCTTCGGGTGATCTTTCCATACTTGCCGGCTGTGCTTCTCATGATAGAGTATTAGAATACCTGGGCATAGTCCACAAGCAATACGGTCGAACTTTCTAGTTCTTCCTAAGGTGTTACCTAAACTGACACTTGGTAACTGTGCCACATTCTATTAACTGAAGCAGATCACAGGGACCAGAGTCACCAAATGAGGGAAGACAACGTATAACAGGCATAGGGAACATTGCCATAGCTCAGCAGGGCCACCTGAGGGGCAGCACCCACAGTGGATAAAGGGATTCAGGGAATAGTTCCTAATCACACCTGGGAAACATAATAGGGCAGTCTCACAAAGAAAGTGGGCCTGATATCAGATGCCAGTCTCCAGGTTTGTCCTAAGACATTAGAAACTGTTCAATGAACAGAGTCATGTTTTATTCTAAATATGTTCCCTATATGGCTTGGGCATTGTTTCGGATTGAGAAAGTCATTACAAATTTAAGGTTAAAATTAAGAAAATGTAAGCTTCTTTTCCATTCATTTTTTTCTTAGACTGGGAATAAGGCTATGTTAATATATAGCGAAGTTTGCGATCGAGCAATTAAACTCTATATGATTTATAGAGAATAAACTACAATGTGATGAATCCAGTAGCAATTATTTGCCATAACCTTTTTTAATGTGACAATTCCTTGGATGTTATAGTGAAATATTTCACCCTTCAACTTCACTTTTATGGTGTGTATTTATTCTTAATAGTTCAGATCCCAAATTGTCAAAATACTCGAGCTGATTTATGGTAATTAGCTTTAAGTTAGAACATTTGAAGTG